TATATATATATATATACACACACACACATACATACACAAGGTAAAGCAGTAGAACAAGATAAATTTTGCAAAATGAATTAATTTACCATGTATTTAGGACCATAATAATCCTATCATTTTTGTCTTTAGAGCAATATTTTCAATCCTTGTGTGTAGAATTCGTCCTTTCTGTATGGCTCTGACTCTTCCTCTCGACCCTTTTTAGGTTAGTAGTGTATCCGTTCTACAGGCCATGGCCAGGAAACAAAGGTAGGTGTGTGTGTGTGTGTGTGTGTGTGTGTGTGTGTGTAAGTGACTACCCTTTAAAAATATAAGAGGTCTTAGTTACAAAAGAGGCCACAGGCTAGGTTGATTTGCCTGTAGAGGTGGCCTGATGATCCCTCGTTTAAACCAGTGAGTGTGCCCGATCCCATCTGATCTCAAAAGTTAAGTGGGGGTGGGTCTGGTTGGTACTTGGATGGGAGATGTGGGATAGTAATACATTTCTAAATTCAGATCAGCAGTTGAGCATGGTGGCATACGCCTGCAGTCCTAGCTCTCTGGAGGCTGAGGCAGGAGGGTCACTGAGCTCGAAGCCATCCGGGGCTACAAAGTGAACTCAAGGTCAGCCTGAACAGCATAGCAGAACCATGTCTCAAAAGACCAGATACATAAATAAATCAGATCAGCTAACTCTGATAGCTGTGTTCTCTGCTTCTAATAATGAGTTACTTCGTTGCTTAACTGACATAACCTTCTCTTTTGGATTATGTTAACCTCAAATAGCTTTTTCTATTTTTTTTTTTTTAACTGATACGTGTTTTGACAATTATATTTTGAGTTTCTCAAATAGTGTCTGATTTATTTCACTCAGCATTGTGATGTCAAGATACATTGTCCTACAAGCTCAAATCCACCTTTATGACTACCATTGTGTATATATGCACCACATTTTCTTTGTTCATTTGTCTGTTTATGGGTATCAGGGCTGCTCCTGTAGTTCAGGTATTGTCAATTGAATTGTTATAAACATACAGTCTATCACTAGGAAGATGTCTTTAACTTTTGGAAAAATACCCAGGAGTGTATAGCTGGGTCAAATGGGATGTCTAGTTTTATTTTGAGGGATCTACATTGATTTCCATAATGGTTGTACTAGTTTACATTCCCACCAGTACCTTAGAACAGTTTCTTCCATTTCCTCACCAGCATTTGTTGCTTTTTGAGTTCTTGATAGTCATTCTTTCTAGAGTAAGAAGGAATTTCCAGGGTGCCTTGATCTGCATTTTCCTAGTGGCTAAAGATGTGGAACAACATTGTATACATTGGTCTGTATACTCTTGAGAAGTGTCTATTCATTTCTTGTGCCCATTCTTTAATCGAGTCTTGTTTTTCCTCGTCTCTTTGATTTGTTTGTATATCTTTGATAAGAATCTATCTGAAGAGTTGCTGGCAATATCTTTTTTCCCATTCGATAAGTATGTCTTCACTGTGTTGACTTTTTTTTATGTAGAAGCTTTTTAATTTAATATAGTCCTGTTTATGGTTTTATTATTTCTTGTCCTGTTGGAGTTCTGTCCAGAAAGACCCTTAAGTGTTCACTTAGCATTGTGTTTTCTTAAGTGTTTCTCTTATTTTGTCTTCCAGCATTTCATTGTTTCTGTTTCGTTATCAGGGTCTTTGATCCATTTTGATTTTAGTATAGGTTGAGAGATACAGATCTAGTTTCTTCCTTCTACATGTGTGTAACCATTTTTCTCAGCATCATTTGTTAAAGAAGGTGACTTTTTCTACCTCTTTCCTGTCCCCATGTATTTCAGAAACAGATGATTGGGTAGGCATCCTCTTTGCTCTACACCAGGCTCAAAAAATTTCCCCCTTAGTTCTGTGAAGTTCTCATTGTCCATCTCTTTCCTGTCTTCAGATGATTGTTTGTCCCAGGAAGTTTCAGAGTTCATGTGGCCTCCTTGTATATGTTCTAACTCTGCATAAGCCAGAACAAGTAGCATTTGGTATTGGTTTTCAAAAACTAAAGCAAGTAACATTTCGTTATCTGTTTCTTTCATGCCTCTTGTCAGGCAGCGAAATGCTGCAAAGGTCAGAAGAGTGCTATCAATGTATACTTCTTGGTCTCAAGTGGATTCTCAATACTGCTGAGTGATCTTGTTTCCCTTTTAAAGTTTTCAAGTCTGAGATAATTACTAGCTTTTGTGACTGTGCACTTGAATTCTACTCCTCAGAATTCCACTGACTTTTTATAAATCTTTGATAAAAATTATTCTTTCAATGTAGTGAGTATGGTATCTTTTCTTCTTTCAAGGGCAAATACTCCTACTTGTATCCTGAACCCCACTCCCTATTTTCTTGGAAGCCTTGATTATTTTTTGCCTAAGTTTTTTCATGTAATTTCTCTGGCCAGAATTCTTCCTGTAAATCTTCCCCGGTTCCTCCCTTTCTGTCTTCTATGCCCACTGCTTTAATTTAATTTAACAAGCATGTGGCCCTGGTTCCGCGGAAGCCAAGTCAGTGCATGTCTGGTTGTGTTTTACACTCTTACCTTATGGACCTACAGTATCTTCCTCTCTTAGGGCAGGAGCCTTCCTGCCACTGCTCTTATTCCTCTTGCCTATACTGGTAACAATTTGCATATGGTCCACTTGGCAGTTTTGTCATAGCTGACCTCCGCCTTGGAAGGATGTGCTGTTATCCTTCTGAAACGTGGATGGTGTGCCATTGTCTTCCAGGTTATGCTCAAGTATGAAACTTCTCATCGCAAGTTTTTAGGGTACCCCTGCAGGTTAGAGTACCTACTGCTTGGAGTGTTCTTCTCTGCAACAGGGTGCTTTCTGCTTTTGTTGCATTGTCATGCCTTTTGGCTGCTGTATCAAGCTGCTTTTCTGGTTGTGTGTTCCTATGGGGCTGAAGGTGACACCCTTGTCTATACATCTTCACTGTGTAAGTAAGCTCTCATAAGGGCTCATTTTGTCACTGCCCAAATCTGTCAGCCTCGCTCTTATTTCATACTCCAGACTTGGGCACTTCCTGTTCCTCTGCCTGAGTCCCTTTTCTGAGGATATCACGTGGCCAACAGAGACAGTTTTCTCCTTTAGGTCTGAGTCTAACAGTGCCTCCCAATAGCCATGTCCAACCTGAGGCCCGCTTAGTTTTCCCCCTTTTTAAAATGGTAAAGAACAAAATGTTTTGTTACTTATGTTTTATGTGTGACCCAAGACAATTGCTTTTTCCTCAGAAGGAAGGCAGTGGCAGGGAAAAAGGCTGCAGACTGGACAGGGCTGGAACCATCTGTGCTCTTTCCCTCCCTCTGCTGGGAACCCCCCTTGTGTCACTCAGTTTCGGGTCATTCCTTGAAGTACAGTGGTTAGGAATAACGCTGTGACTCGGAGTAGCGGGAGGCCATGAGTACAGATACCCAACACTTGCAGAGTATGCTCTCAAGGTGAGCAGTGTGGGAGAAAGGCGTCTAGGTACCCTGCTTGCCCTGATTTCAGGGTTAGGAGTTGGGGCTCTGGGAAGGGACATTTTCTTTGCTATTACCAGACTTCCTACATGAGCAGTAGCTTCTGGTATCTTAAGGTTTTAGTCACAAAATTACCCAGATCCATGCATTTGTTACTCTGTTACATCCTCTTCATCTTGAGTAGAAAAATTCTGTTATACTTTTTATTTTTAAAACAGCTTTTGAAAATCTGTACATTGTTTCCATTTGTTTATGAATGTGCCTATTTTCCATAATTTCCCTGGCTAGTCAGCACCTTTGCCTTAAGAGAATCAGTGGAACAGATTAAAGAATGCATGAACAACTGCAAGCACTCCAAGCCACCTCATCTGACAAAGGACACAAACAAGTTCACTGGAAGAAAGAGACCTCTTTAATAAATGGTGGTGGAAAAACAGGCTCTCCATGTGTGAAGACTAAAACTAGACCCATGTCTCTCACGTGACACTAAAGTCAGAATGGATCAAGTTCAGCAAAGGCTTACTGAATAAAACCTTGATTGCACAGGAAGTATTGCAAAGAATTAACAACTGGGATCTCATTAAAAATCTTTTACTCATTAAAGGAAATCAAGAATAAAGCGATGGTCCACTGACTTACTAAAAAAAAAAAAAAGTATATATATCAGCTCTTTCTAAAAAGATTAATTCCTAAAATATAGAAAGAGCTAGGAAAAACAAAAATTGAATGACCCACTCTAAAAATGGGCATTTAAAATGAATAGGCACTTATAAGGAAATAGAAATGGCAGATAAATACTTGAAAAATGTTCAACATTATGGGTCATTCATGACATACAAATTAAAACAGATTCCATCCCCAGAAAGAATGGCTATCATCAAGAAATCAACCAGTAACAAATGCTGGAGGGGTTATGGAGAACAGGGAACCCTTCTCTACTGTTGGGAGTATAGGCTGGGCAACCACTCTGGAGGGTCCTGAAAAAAAAAAAAAAAACAACCCAAAAGTAGAAATTCCATTTGACCCAGCTATTCCGCTCCTTGGTATCTTCCAAAAGTCTTAAAAGCATCATACCATAATGATACATGCACACCCATATTTATAGCAGCACAGTTTGTAATAGCTAAGTCTTGGAAATATCCCAAGTGCTCATTAACTGATGGGTACAAGAAGATGTGGTGTTTTTTCTTAATATGATGGCAAACTATTCATCCACAAGGATAAGCTTGAGACATTTTTAGGTAAATGAATGCACCTTGAGACCATACTCAAGTGAAATAACTAAAATACGTGTAAACAATCACGTTTCTTTGAGAAACCAGAAATGTAAGTAAGGATGAAAATGTAATATTACACAATGGGAAGGGAAAGGAAAATGTACTTTTGTAAATAAGAAGGAAAACATTGAAGGGAGAGGGATGGGGGAAAATAACTAAGATACATCATATACAGGTACAGATTCCCTGTGATGAATATGATCATTATATCTAAAATTTACAGATAAATTACTTTTTCCCCCAAAAGAAAAAAAATTGTAAATATGTTCAGACCCAGCTTAAAAACTCAGAACATTGTAGTCAAGAGCTTTATATCTGCAAATATAAATTTGTAGAAATCCCAGTACATTAGGCAAAAAGTATTTAAAAAATATAGAAACTACAGCCAAGATTTAGATCACTTGTTTAATATACAAAGTCTTCCACAGATAATTATTTTCTTTTCATTAGTTTGTCTTAGCACACATTATTGACAAACAGTAAATTGTTAATGAAAGAGAATTAGGTAAAACTGAAAAAAGTACAAATGCCCAATCTCAAAAATTATACACAATTAAAATAATTATTTTCTTTCTTGTTTCAATGCAATATCCAATTTCAAGCTGGGCTTCTTCAGACATGGAAACACTGCAGCCCAAAATAACAGTACTTCCTTTCAACTGTATTGATACGTAAAATAGCACCATTGGGCTGATTAAAATAAAGCAAGAGGGTTTTCATCTTTCTTAAGGTATGATTCTTACAGAACTACTATGTAACAACTACAATAATAATGATAATATGCTTAAAGAGCTCTACGGTGTTCCACAATATTAACTGGCAAGGCAAGGAAAGGTGAATGATGTCTGCAGAGCGAATGACCTGCCCCCTCAGCCCCATGTAAGTTTTCTTAATGATGTCCTTGGGCTGATAAGCTAATTTTCCAGCCAAAGAATAGATGGTGTAAGAGTACTGTGCACTTTATGCAAAACAAGAAGGAATGTAACTGAGAGACCATCCCTGGCTTGTCCCCACCCATAGCAGCAGGCCTCAGAGTTAGTACAGGGCAGTGGGAGAAGCGGCACTGCTGAATGCTAGGTTGGGATCACAATTTTTCCCGTTTTTATTTTGTTTGTTTTTATACATAAGCCTAAGTTACTTTCTATCTTCATCTTTAAAAAATTGGAATGTCATTCCCTTGCAATGTAATCTTTAACCTTCCACAACTAAAGTGACAATTTTTTAGATAAAAACTGATAACATCAGTGCCTGTTGTTTACGGTATATTTTACGGAAAAATACATTTTCTTGTTATGATTATAAAAAGCCCAGAATTTTAAGTGTATTTTTTGGAATTCAGTCATTTGTTTTGATGCCTTTTTTATTTCTTACAGGAGCAGGTAAAAGTACCTGAAAAACATCATTCTGTAAGGCAGCTTTTCTGAGAGGTGAATCAGTCCACCAGAAAGCACTGCTATACGGGCAAATGTTTCTTGTTGTTTGAGAGGACAAAGGTACCACTGCTGCTTGGAATGTAAAAAATAAAAAAACAACCCTTGGTTTTAAATGAATGTGGTTATTTCACATTGTTTGAATCATAAACATTCATTGCAGGAAAGCTTGTCCATGAAAATTTTGCTGCAATAGATTTTTAAAAAATGAAATTCAATGTCAGGTTTTGAAAACTTGGAAGAATAGCAGAATTGTTAACTTTTAATCCTGCTAAGGAGTTACATTCTCATTTCAATAAACTCAAAGCCTATAAAAGCATTTCTTTGAGAATTTTGGTAGTTTAAAAATACCATTATCTTTTATCAGTAATATACCGACAATTATCTTTGCTTTTTATTTTAGAAGTTTTCTTAGTTTTAAATACAGCCTTTAATAAATGAAGCCTAGTTTTTTCACCAGTCATCACCTACTGTGAAGTGAACTATGTATTTGCATATCCTTTTTTTAAAATAGTGTTTTCCATGGTAATTAAGGTTAAATAATCCTTTGTTTTTCAGAGCACACACAAAAAGGAATCAGTATTTCTTTGTTTGCTGGTGACTACTTTTTCCTTGGGAATATTTATAGCCAATGCATTGCCATTACTAACCCATAGGAAAAATGAATTATAGAAAGTTTAGCAAAAGTAGGCAGGAAAGTTGAAGGAAGGTTAGTACCTTGGATGTGGCGCCATGGTTACATCGCCCCACACTTTTGTTATTCAAATGTGTAGATCTTAAGTGGCTGAAAGGGAAATTTAAGAAGTTAATACAAAGTTTAAGGTTGATTTATTCTTTTTAAAAAGCCACTGAAGTCCTTATTTGTGTTGAGTTTTTGGTCCAGTTTAATTACCTTCACTTTGCTTTTCTGTGACTTTACTTTGTGCCCCTACAACAACGTTTAATAAAGTTGAGTTTTAAACCTTGTGTTTTCTTACTGCACAACTTAACATTTTTCTCCCATATATATGTGAATTACACACACCCACACATCACTTGCATACACACATGCACACACACACACTTGACACTGTTTACCTTTGTTTTATGTCTAGAAATGGGAATATTTCCAGTCAGTGTTAGCCACTACTAATATCCGCACTGTCTTTCTCATTAAGACACTATCTTTCTCATTGTTCCTTTGATAAATCTGTGAAGAACAAACACACTGAAAATTACAAAGTACACTAACATACCTAGATTGTGCCTTGTGATAACCCATGCTTTGGTTCTTGTGGGCGTCCTTGTCTTTTCAGGATAATGAACATGACAACTAACAAAAGTCACTTTATAAAATGTAGGACATTTTCAGCAGGCCACTATATGTACAGTTATTGATGTACTCACCTCAGTGTCATTCACACTTGAGAAAAAGCTTATATGAATATGGAAAGAATGCAATAGTAACTGTCAAACCTAAAAACTCAATTTATTACTTACAGAATCTTGAGTACTTATGTTTCTTAACTGAGCAAGGTAAGTACTGTCAGATTTTTAAAGTAGGCTCTACATTCTTGCTTGTAATTACTCAACTGCATATGGATTTTAAAAATCTTTACAGTTTTGTTATATTAACAAATATTTAATTTTACCGCCCTATCATTAATGCTTCATAGTAGCAAACAAGTTCATTTCACAACTTGCTGCAGGCAGATTACTTTCTATCTTTTTGTCTTTCCTCTTTACAGATGTGATTACTTTGTCTCATTCTTCAAACCAGGATACTTAATTTGATTATTTTAGTGCTTTGTAAAATCATGCTCTTTAAATGAGACTTTGAAATAAAGTAATGAATTAAGCTGCTGCTTTGAAATCCTCAACTGTCAAATGAAGCTCTAATTTCAGAGCTGTGCTTTGAATACAGTTGACTCAAGTTGAGGCTTGTTATTAATGAAGTATGTACTGGATTTTGAGGTCTTGACTCAAAAATACACAATTGTGGTAATTGTTTACTTGGATGGAATGTTGAAATAACTTGCATTTATAGTGTTACAATGATCAAAACTAATTTTCACCTATCTTTATATCTTCTGATAGGATTACTTGGAAATACATTTATGGCCCACATTTGTATCCAGCGTCCTATTTTTATTGGTGAACACTGTGTTAGAGGAACCAGATAAAATATAAGACCTGATAAGTGATTTTAATTTCTGTGAGTACTTAACAGAGCTAATTAAACCCAAACATTCTCTGCAAATCATTTGTTCATGATTTAAATGTAATTCCAGGTGTTACTATTTTCAGATGTGTGTTGCATCCATTTTTGAAACATGCATCTGTCAAAATAACCAGATTCCACTATAGCCATAAAAATCTGTATATCAAAATACGCATCCTCCAACTTTGCTTCCACTGTGACGTAAGGACAATGCAGACAATTTCAGGCTTAAAACCAAGTATGTGTGTTATTTCCACATGAGATAGCCAACATTACAAGGCCTAGGAAGAAATACACATTGCAATTCAAGTCTATATTCTTGAACTTTGCCTCTGCTACTGTAAAGAAAATCATGTGTCCATTTCATGTGTCATCATTGCCTAAATACTTTCCTTGTACCAGTAGTTCTTTATTGTCTTAGAAATCATTCCAGCGAGCTTCACACTTCTGTACCATCCTGCAGTCTCCTTCAAGAGATCCGAGTTACTTGATTTTCTTTTTCCTCCTCTCCTTTCAAGCAAAGTAAGGACAAATGAGTCAGTAGGAGGAAGGAGATAAAGGGAATGAACAATGCAGGAGCACACCTGTCATTTGTAGTGGCTGAAGGCTACAAAGATGTTCTTGGGTGGAGAAACTCCCAAATAATTCAGTCAAACTGGTATAACTTCTGGAGGACCAACCTCTGCAGGTGGCAGTGAATTGGGGCCGGTTTGTGATACAGGCACGACTACCGCGTCTTTGATGTCTGTGTTTACATTGCATGAGAAGTTCTTCTCCAGTTTATTGGCTGTGTCTGGACAATTCTGCACAAAAATTACACGGTTGTAGGCCTTCAGCCTGCGCCACAACTGAACGTAGACTTTACACTGTACGTACATGAAGACGAGACCTCCTGTGAAGCCAATGGCCACCACAACCAGTTTTGTCCAAAACGGCCATTCCAGGACACCTTTAAAATATGAAAGAATGTTATCAGCAAGTTGTCATTAATGGATTTGATTGGTTGTTTTTAGTAGTTCCCTCCAAAAGAACATACAATGCCAGCTAAATTATATTAGTAAGAGTTATATGGCTAACAACTTAGCTTTATAATGAAGTCAGTCTAATTCCTTTCAAACATTATAAAGATATTAAACTGAGGGGACTGAGGATGTAGCACAGTGGCACAGAACCTGCCTGGAAAGGGTGAGGTCCTGAGTTTAATCTCCAGTACTTGAAAAAAAGAAAAACAACTAAAGAAATGTTCTCAGTTATCCCTCCAATGATCTCTCCTATCAATTACCTGCTATAACTATCAAAGGTCACGTTAGACTTGGAATACTCTGGCACTTTCTCTTTTTATCTAGGATTTTTGAAAAGATAGTGAACACACTAACGGAAAGGATCAGAATTTAAAATCCATTTAAGAAGGGAATGTATGGATACAGGTGAGATCAGGAGATAGGGGGCTATTTAGGCAGCAGAGGGCATCAGTCCTAGTAAACTGAGACAAGCCCTGGGAAGTTGGAGTGCACTGGGAGGCTGGTCTCCTAATGCCGAATAATGAGCATAAGCATGACCATATAGCTTTGGTTTTGCACTAACACCTGTACATAAATCTCTGGACTTGAGTGTCGCCTTGCAGCTAGTGAGAGCTTTTCTGTGTTCTTCTAATAAACTGCACCAAGTTTGCTCCCCACCGCTACCTTCCTGGATTTCACTCTTCATTGTCTCCAGAACAAGAGCACCAAGGAAGAAATTGGTGACTTGTACGTCTGAGCTTCTGCAGACAGATGGCCTGGCCCTCATACCACATGAGAGAAAAAGCAAGACGTAAGCCATATCTTCCTTCCCAAACAGAATTCCTGACCACAGACTTGCAAAAGATTAAGGATTTTAAGCATTCATTTCTTAAATCTTATATTTTACTATTATGAACCATCACTTGACTAGGCATCTGTATTTTTTTGTTTTGTTTTTGTTTTGTTTTTTGGTGGAGCTGGGGATTGAACTCAGGCCCATGAGCTTGTCAGGCAAGTACTTATTCAATTGAGCTATCTCCCCAGCCCCTGTATTTTCTAGTACCAGGAGAAAAGCTTGCTTTTGGCAAGAAGCAGTTTTAAAAATTACTTTACAAGAGTTTCTGTAACTACAAAGTAAATGTAAAATATATGACGATTGAAGTTCATTTTTGCAGCACCAAGGTGGTGTGTGCGAGATGTAATTGCTTAAGCTGGAAAAGTGTCTAGTGCTTGGCTCAGTATAGCCCAGCAGGAAGGGCTGTCGAGGTGAGCAGAAACCCAAGGATGTGAGGATCTGTGATTCCCTGTTCAGTTTTTAATCACAATAAACACTTGTTTTATTATAGCAGTAAATATAGTATATATATTTTGTAATAGTGCCATTTGCTTTATGGTTCTTTGCATGTGCAGTATGGATGTATATTACTGAGAATGAAGCCAGGGCGCTCCACCACGGGCTTTGTCCTTAGGCCCTGTTTTTTTTGTTTTTTTTTTTTTTTTTTTCTTATTCTGAGAGAAGTTCTTGTTAGGTCACCCACACTGGACTTGAACTTGGGGTCATCCTACCTCAGCATCCAAAATGTTGGAATTACGTGCACCATGGTGCCAACGTCCTGCTTAATGTTTCTGAAAGCAAAGCAGACATCGCGTTTCCATCAGGACCAAACACTTGCTGTCTAAGTTGAACGAGGAGACGCTAGGTGCCACATCCGGATTAATCTCACAACCAGAAACACCAAGCATTTGTTGTTAAGAAAAAATAAAGAACTTTTGATTTTAGAAAGTCAAGAGTCTACACACAGGCTGTATTAGGTCTTCACAGTATTTTGTTTGTCCTATGCTAATACTCCTATGGTTCTCTTCTGATATCTTTGATTCTAATGATAGTGATTTTAACAGTGACAGTCTATTGCCCAGATTTGATTTCTTTGTTCAGATAAATTTGCAATTAGTGTGTATTCAGTGGCAGCACCATTTTAATCTAGTGACAGTAGGGAACTCCAGTCCCCTATCCCAGTGTCCTGCAGAAAATGCATCATTTAAGCACAGAAGAACAGATAACTATAGAAGTTATGGCACAAAATGCTTTGTATTTAGTGACATATTTTTCAAGTCAATTATAAAAAATAAAAAATTATGCCTTAAAACAATAAATTTTGGCCATGAGTACAAGTTTTTAAAATTTTTAGTCAGGAGATGTTAGCTCAGGTAAGGTGCTTGCCCAGCATGTGTGAGAGCCTGGGTTCAGTTCCAGCTTTGCAGAAAGAAAGCAAAATTTTGTCCTCCTTTCCTAGCCCCTGTTCCTCTTCTAAAGATTTGGACCATTGCTAATCTATACTTGAAGCAGATCTTAAGTGTCACTACACACATTTATTTATTTTGGAAAGAACTTGTTATTGTATATATGTTTAAAAAGATTCGATTTTTTATGAAAACAACTCATAGAATATGCTCTTTTTTTTGAGTGAAGAATTTACCATATTTATTCCATATTTTAAACATTATACCATTGAGATTTCCTAAATCTAATGAAGAACAAGCAGTTTCCTGAAGGCTGATTCATGATTTGCAAAATTATTTTGAATGAATTTTGGATGCACAGTATGACAACATAAATCTAATGGATAGTTATCCCACTTAAAGGTTTATTCATGGGTTTTGCATGTTCTAAATTACTTCTTTGATGTTTAATGAGAGGTGTCTTTTTCCCGAATGCTTTGCTAGTCTCTGCTTTCATAGGACTTCTCTCCTTTGGGACTTCTGTGTTGTACAATGAGAGTTGATTTAACACTGAAAGAATTTTCACATTCATTACTTCCCTGAAGTTTCTTCCCTGTATGAATCTGCTAATGTTTAATGAAGGGTGCCTTCTGGATAAAGCTTTTCCCACATCCACTGCATTCACAGGGCTTTTCAGTTTTATGCATATGAAGGTTGACTATTGGCTGAAGGCTTTTGCACATTCAGAGCTTTCATAAAGCTCTCCAGTGTGAGTTCTTTTATGTACAACAAGGTGTGCTTTCTGGATAAATATTTCTCCACATTCATGGAGTTCTCCCCAGCTTGAGTGTTCAGCTTTTCACTACAGGCTTGCTTGTGGTGACAAGTTTTTCCTTGTTGGTTGGTATCAAAGAATTTCTTTGCAGGTTTGGCTTTATCAAGTTTAGAACAGAGGCATAATTTCCAGTATGACTTACACCCATTACATTTCTTACATAGATTTTGTTTTAACCAAGAAAGCTTAAAGTATGTTGAACGCTTACTCCATGAATAATATTTAGGGAGTCTTTGTCTTACAGAAACAGTCCGTGCTCACATATATGATGTTTTTCCATGTTCTGCATCCTGGCCCCTTTAATCCTTCATTATTTCCTCATCTCTGAACACAGCTTGTATAGAATATGTTCTTAAAAGTCAGGTGGATATAATAAAGGTTGTTCCATTCTTAATTTTTCTAGTGTCAGCAAAGAAAATTAACTAACAATCCAGAGCTCAATGGCCTTTAAAGACCTATTTCAAGTCTTTACCTCCTTGTTTTTCTATTGCTACTGGTATTGAATGACTGAACTGAGCCTATTCCCCAGTAATCTTGACCTCGTAATCTTTATTTTGAAATACTTTAAATCAAGGTCTTTGTGAGTGATTGTGTGATGAATTTTGAGGAATAATCAGGAGCATGTAATGATTTTAGTATTCACAGGTACATGGTGGCACACATGCACAAGGACTGGATAACGTATACCTTCGCACTGAATGCACGTAACACAGTGGGAAAAGGTGGATTCCTTTCCATGAAGTTTTCACCTCTGGAATGTAGAGAGCCTTTTTAGTACACTTCATCGCACAAGGACCACACCCTCACTCGCTGTGGGCCTAGGTTCTGAGCATGGCTGGTTGTGCTCCTTACTGGCATCTTGCATCGTCTGGAGGGACCGCTGATTGTCAGAGCTAGAGTTGAATGGGCTTCTAGTGACTCTCAGTAAGCAGAGGCCAGGGATACTGCTAAACATTGTCCTGTGGTGCACAGAACAACCCTCTTCTAACAAAGGGGTCAGGCTTCATTTGGACTTGATTCTTCCAGGGCCCAACCTGCAGCAGCTTTGCTCTTAGTGAAGGCCCAGCTCAGCACCAGGGCTGCTCTTGGCAGACACAGGATGTCATGAAAGAGATGAAATAGACCATGGGCTCTTCCAAGCACCAGAGTATCTGAAGATATCTATACATTTACACTGGACACCTCACGGACTTTCCCCACTTGAAACACGAGACATTTGGAAAATTTTGACCATCGATGTTTACTAAGACCTCCCTTACCTCATGTCCCTTGCCTTCTTTGAAGCCCTTTAGAGAAGCCTGCCTCTCCTTGTTCCCTACAGATGGCCTTTTCACCCTCCCTCTGCCTGCACCAGGTAGTAGGTTGTGTGCCTCCCTGCTTCCACATGAGCTGTGAGTGCGCTCTGCCTTGCACTGTTCCTCACAAAAGGATCAATCTGAAATGTCAGCAGTGCGGAGGGTAGGAATCCCTGCTGTGGAAGACGTGTTTCTTTATTAGAAAGCGAGCAGGGAGGATTCAGTATACAAATAAGACATTTGGAGTTCTTCAAACTTGGAAGGATTTTTCTGAGGTGGGTAAGTGATGAGCAGTAATTTCTATGTGTTTGAAAATCTCTTAACCACAGGCAAGCTGGAGATGAAATTTACTTTCCCTCCCTTTTTCAGGGAAATTCGCAAGAATCACATCCACTTTTTATTTGTAAATCAAACTAACACTAAATGCCTAGAGATTTACTATTTCTGAACTTTGCTTATACATTTTTTTCTGGATTTTGTCTCTCTGTTTCTGCCCCCCATAAAAATAAACCCAAGTCAGAAGTAATTTTTTTTTCCTTTTCCTTTACTTCTGCTCTTGCTTTCTCTTTCTTTCTTTCTTTCTTTCTTTCTTTCTTTC